TGCGGGATATGATTCCCCTTTTTGAAATCAGTGGATTTATTTCTATATGGATATGGTTTTTCGTTTTTAGACTGTTGCTTACAGTAATATTAAGTACTCACACAGGTATGCCAACTACGTATTGTTCAAAACGTATGATTGGTCTAAAAAAGATAAAATTGTCCACATCATGTAACAGAATAACGGGAACAGGAATAGTATAGCAGTTATAGAAATACATCATGTTTCATAAGTTCATAAGCATGACAATTGGGGCAGGGGGCGGAGATTTTCTATCTCCTGGTAACATAGGGGCAACTTTCTGGAAAACATAACTGTTGGGTTTTCTAGTGGTTCAGAAACCAAAATAATAAACCCAAATAAGCCAGTATGCTATTTTGAATTCTCAAAATGAAACAGAAAGATTCAAGACCTATTCTATTATTTATTTTATTTTAACTATGTATATTGTACCTTTTAGGACAAAGTCCTAGCCAGTTACACATTCATTTGCAAAGTACATTCTAGAAAGGTAAATGTTTCCTGTGTAAATTTTTACTTCTCTTTTTGTAGACGTAAACGCCCAATTGTGGGATGATAAACAAACAGAAGCATGGTGGCCATGAATAAGGTTATGTTCTTGCTACCATATCACAATAGTACCTGGATTTTTTTGCTGCTCTTGTTGCGAGCTGCAATCCTGCAACCCATGAAAGGAGAACAGAATGAAGTTGGATTGTCACTCTCTGAACTGAATTCTGCACCCTAAATACCAGACCCCATCAAATGATGGAATTTGCTTCCAGACAATGTAGCAATAGCCACTAACTTGGACAGCTTTCAGATGGAAGCAGACACATTTGTGGAGGATAAGGCTCTCAATGACTCTTCCACCTAGATTTTGCCAATGGGGAAGCAGCAAAAGGAGGGAAGGAACTAAAATTCTTTCTCCAATCTTTGACTGTAATTCTGAGAATACATAAATCCGACCCATCCAGTAGGATTTTAGATAGTTAAAAAAATAAAAATGAAAGTGAGCAGCTACTCCAGATGCTTCATATCAAGTTATGGGAAGTTTCAAAATTCCGCACTGGAGTCTCAAATTACAAAAGCAAAGCATGTTGTTGCGCATATGTAAGGGAGTTTTCTGGATGGCTGATAAAACTCCAAACTGAAAATCAAACCTGTCAAATATGCATGGCAAGTTCTGCTCCAAAGTATCTCACCACTAGATGGCAGGTTGAGAACACAAACAGACTGTTTCAAAGGGCCCTGGTACAATATGGAAGAAAATGTGCAGTGTTGTTTTCATTTATCTTGGTTTTCCTATCAGTTTCAAAGCATGGCGTCACACATTCACCAAGTATGAGAACTGCATAATAATCCGGCAGCCTCAAAAGGCTGCAACTTAAGTCTTCTGGGTTTTCCTGTGCCAACATAGGACTTCTTTTGGTACTGTGCTTCAGAATCAGGAGCACGACTTACAAGCTTTCATTCAAACGTTACTAGCTCTCAGGAAGGCAGAACATGCAAAGTCTCTTCCAGCCAATTAAGCAACAATATCAGTAAAGATGCAAAGACTTACAACCCAAATATTTGGTACAGAGCAGGTTCTGGGTCACAGCAAAGCATTGGGGGGGGGGATGTGAAGCCATATTACAATGTGTTGAACCACCAAGTGCATTTCTGTCTATTTGCTAGCCAAGTCTTGTACAGAGCCCACTCCTGACCCTGCTACTTGCTATCCTTTTTGGCTGTAGATGCCAGGGACTGAAATTTGGACCTACTGGATGTGAACTGAGATTCCTGCATTGCAGGGGGTTGGACTAGATGACCCTTGGGTCATCTTCCAACTCTATAATTCTATGATTCTACCACTGTGCTATGCCCAAGCAAAACGCCCTGCTGCTGCCCTCATGACAACCTCCTCCCCAGGTCTCCTTCCCTGCTCCCACCATTATACCCATGCAGTTGTGAGGAAGGGGTCAGATCCACAGCCTGAAGCAAATGGCTTCACCTCGCCTAATGCATGCGCCTCCCCTGTGCCCAAGGGACTATATTTACATACTTAGTTTTTATTTTATTTTTTAGTTTTAGTCTCCACCTCCATCGTTCTGCCCAGACACTGAGGTCCAGTGCCTTCTGGAGGTTCCCTCCTTGTGAGAAGCCAAGTTACAGGGAACCAGGCAGAGGGCCTTCTCGGTAGTGGCACCTGCCCTGTGGAATGCCCTCTCCCACCAGATGTCAAAGAGAAGAACTACCACCAGACTTTTAGAAGACACCTGAAGGCAGCCTTGTTTAGGGAAGCTTTTAATGTTTAATGTTGTTTAGTCGTTTAGTCGAGTCTGACTCTTCGTGACCCCATGGACCAGAGCACACCAGGCACTTCTGTCTTCCAATAGGTTATTGTATTTTAGTGTTCTGTATTTTAGAGTGGCTGGGGAAACCCAGCCAGATGGGCGGGGTATAAATAAATTATTATTATTATTATTATTATTATTAATTCATTTTATTATCACATTTATTTCCCTTGCTTCCTCAAGGAGCTCAAGGTGATGTATGTACATAGTTATCTCCTTATTTATCTTTACAACAACCCTGTGGAGTAGGTTAGGCTAAGAGGCAGTGACTTGACCCAAGATCGCCTGTTGGTCTTCATGGCTGAGTGGGGACTTGTAATCCTGGTGTCCCAGGTACTGCTCCACACCACACTGGCTCTCTTCACATAAATGTTCTTATGCAGATCTCTACAGTTTATTCCAGTGGCAGAATCTGTGTAGGATTTGCAGTGCATTTTGAAGCTTTATTACTTAACAACTAGAACTATTCTGACATTCTTTCATCCTTCCATACAGTGGAGCAGTTTGCAAGAGGTGAAATATGGACTGTTTTTATTCCTCTTTGCCTGCCACCATGTGATTCAGCTATTGTGCTAGAGGTGGCTCTTCCCTTCGCACATCTGCAATATAACATTTTAGATACATGTTGTTCCAAAAGAATAAAAGTATCTAACCAGTTACAGCTAAGTATTACAAAATACAGGAGGTCTAAGCGATGGGAAACATTGGGTGGTATTAGACTTAAGTTTTACTCACAGCAGACACATTGAAATTAATGGATCTAATTTAGTTATGTTCATTAATTTCAGTGGGTCATCTCTGAGTAAAGCTGAGTTGAATACCATCTTTCAGATTCTACAAAATGGTTGGGGGAAGGAATGTGATTTGTAGAATTAATGAAGTTATGCAAAACTACAACATATCAAATTAAGCTAATAGAAGTAGCCTGAGAAAGTGACACACACACACACACACACACACACACACTTTTTGGTTTTACTAACTGCTACTTATAGCAAGTAGGTCAGTCTTGCTGAGCCACAACATTTCTGCATTATTTTTACACCATTCCATTCACTCATAGCAAGTTTTAGCCTAAATTGTATTTTGAAGTATGTATCATAGATGCACTGGGCAGGTTTGACATAGACCTTCAGAACACCAACAGCTGCTTTATATTTACACCAGAAAGAGATATAGGAGTTTTACCTAATTAACCTCCTTGCAGTATTGCAATGATGTAACTGCCGCTATATGTTGCAAGTTAAGAAACAGGAAGTGAAATAAGAAAAAGCATGGAACCTGAGTGCAGCAGAAAGCCACAGAGAAGTGGTTACTTCCCTGCTGCTCCACAAATTCTGTTCTCAGCTTTTGCTAAAGATATAGCACTTCTGTGCCTCAATATCTCACACAATTACAGGTATATTTGTGCTGTTGGGATGCGCTGGGAATTTAACACACTGATGTACTTACTTAACGCAGTTCTGCTCCCAAGATTTACTTCTTTTAAATGCTTTTAAATATTCCAGGAATGGTATATAACAGGGTGGGTGTTGGGGGAGAATACCTTTGGCCCTCCAGATGTTGTTGGGCTACACCTTCAATCATCCCTATTGGCCATGCTGGGTGGGGTGATGGGAGTTAGATTCCAACATCTGGATGGCCACAGGTTAGCCACTCCTGGTATACAGTGTCAAAGGCCAATGAGCATATGAAAAGAGAGATAGGGATTGGTGGACAAGATAAATGGAACAAGGTTCTATTGCAGGACACTTAAATCCTTTCTGGGTTCTGACTGACCCACCAAAAGTTTTGAACTTTCTTTTAAGTTATTCTCTCCAAACCAACAGGACTAAACGCCTGCATGTTATGTACATATCTTAACAACTATAATAATGACTGTTACGACATTCAAACGCTATACAGAACAGGGCTATTGAGACAAGGATTACAGATGAGGAATACATCTGAAATGGTTAATAAAGTGGAAATCAATCCATGGGGTCACTCTTAATTATTGGAATCCTATGTCACCCACAGCTGCCATTTTATAAACAGAGCTCAGTAAAGATTGGTTCTTTTTGAAATATGCCCCTAACTGCGCATTTAAATAATGTACCAACACATACCACCATTCAAACATGGTAGAACTGCAACAACCTGTTAAGATCTGTGTATGCAGCTCCTGTCATCATGAAGCCTTCTGTATAATTTTAGCATGTTTGGGAGTGACTTCAAGGTCCCTTAACTGTTTAGCACCATGGCCGCTACCATGTGGCTTACACTAAGTGTCTTTTGACAGGGCTCCAGCCATGGGACTCACCTAGCTGGATCCTGCTTGGTCTTGATCCTGTCACAAGGTGGTGAGGTTGCAAATTGCAACAGTGCTGCTCTCGAAAATGTACACAAGCCATCTCCCTTCCATGGCTTTCTTTATCAATGTGCACAGGAGCGCAAACTACCCCAGTTTCACCTTCAAAATGGAATTGTTTACACACTTCTTTACACACTTACTTACTTCTGAGTAAATATGCAGAGACTATAACTGCAAGAGTGGTTAAAACATACACACAAGTTATCTAAGCCACCTGACATTACATGAGTAGTAGTCAATACTTAGTTAACCCCAGAAGTGGAGTATCACTCCTTCCTTACAGGCACCGGGCTTGCTTTCCTCCTTACCTCCTCCTTCTTTTCATCAACACTCACAGCTAAATTGAGACTCAGCTGAGAGTGGCTGCTGATGCCACTGTCTTCATTTGTGTCGTCAAAGAACACAGCTTGCACCGAATCCTGGAAGCAAACAGGGCTCTTCCCTAGCTTGGCAGAAGGCCCCTCCCCTCTTCCCTCGCTTTCCACGGAGCTGAGTGACAAGGTGCTGTTCCTGTCAGGACAACGGAAATCCATATTGCACTTGAGGTTTTCGGCACAAGGGCTCTGAGGCTTGGGGATGACGGGTCTGGCAGGGGTAGCAGGATGCTCAGTGCTGCTGCATGTAAACTGGCGAGAACTTCTTGGCTCATCAGAGTCTTCGTAAAACACTTCGTTCGCGATTGTCCCAACGTCCTGAAGTGGAGGCGGTGAAGACACCGAATCTGGAAGGTCACAGGACGACATCCTGAGACCGCTGCCTTCGAGGGTTAATGTATTAGCCGCAACATTGTCATCCTCAGAACTCTGGACACTCGATGTGGAAACAGTAGAGTCTGGGCTGCTCCTGGGCGGTGCACACCTCCGCTTGTCTTTCTCAGTGTTGCTGGAAACCCGACGTGAGTAATCATCATGCAGCCGACTGTTTGATCTAGTCCTCTGGTTCGGCTCATTAGAGGATGGGATTTCGTTCTTGGGACTGTCTTTCTTCAACGCAACATCAGCAACGTTGCTGACAAGTTTCAAAACTCTGTCGAAATCCTTCGCCCTGATTGGGCTCTTCCAGCGTTTCGACTGGCGCTCCGAGTTCCTGCTGGCTTTGTCAGAGTCCGCTGAAGAAATACTTGTTGCTCTCTGCGGAGTTTGCTTTTCGTTCACTACTTTGAGGTCGGTGAGGTTTGAGGTCGACTTCCTTTTGAATGAGCTCTTTTTCAGGAAGTTCAGGTTATCTGTGCTTTTGCTCCTCCGGTAGATGACTTTGCTGCTTTCAGAATCTTTCACTACTATTTCGCAAATCTGGGCCTCCTGTATGACAGGGGATACCGTCCTGGTAGTGTCCTGATGGCCCTGGATTTTATCAGTGTCTAATAAATTTATACGGCCAATCCCATAGGCACGCCTGATGCTGCGTGACCTGCGAGTGTTCCTCAGGAAGGAATCATCGCCTTCCTCCCCGTCAGAATGATCAGAAACAAAAGCATTGTCAGTTGTGCTTTGCGAGTCATGTAGCGGCCCTGAATAAGAATACCTGTTTGTTTGAACTCTCACCAGCGTATTGTTTGGGACACGCTTTCTGATATTATTTTCCAACACGCTATCATTTAAGGTGTCAGAGTCTTCCTTGGCTGGCATTCCTTGGAGAACGGAGGATTTCAACTTCTTGAAAGATCCTATTTTCCTAATGGAAGACAGGGCATTCCATGTTGAGGGGTTCCCCATGACTATCAGAGAACGAGGCCTTTCCACATTGGAGCCAGATCTTTTCCGAGGAGTGGAGAAAAAGTGCATGAGTTTGGAAGGGCTCACTTTATCATCCTGGCCTTCATTTTCATAGCTGTGACTTGTGTCACCACTCTGACCTAAGGAGGTATTGCAGTGCTTCGATTCCTTATTATCCATCACCATACAGGTAACAGAGGTGCCGTTTCCACAGCCATTCTGATACGTTGTCATATTTTCTGCGTAAGCATCGGGATATATGGGGTTATATCTCACATCCAAAACCTTGTCTCCTTCATTCTCACCAAACCAAAGCTTTTCTTCAGTGGTGCATCTTTTGGGGTTGTTGTTTTCACATCTGTGGTGTGGATTTAGTTCTCCAGTAGTCTGCACTGCCTGCACCAAGAAAACAAAGCCAGCATTTAGCATGTTTTTTCTCCATAGAAAAAAAGGATTCTTTTGTGTAAAATGCAAGGATTTCTTAAACAAGGCTCTCTGATGGAATTGAGAAATACTTTTTGAGGACACAAACATTATCTGAGTTATTAATTATATCTACAGTCATACCTCGGGTTACAGCCGCTTCAGGTTGCGTTTTTTCGGGTTGCAGACCGCCGAAACCTGGAAGTACCGGAAGTGGTTACTTCCGGGTTTCGTTGGTCGTGCATGTGCAGAAGCGCTAAATCACGCTTTGTGCATACGCAGAAGCACCGAAACGCAACCCGTGCGTGTGCAGACGCGGGTTGCGAACGCTGCGGGTTGCCAACGTGCATCCCGCACGGATCATGTTCGCAACCCGAGCATCCACTGTATTATATTACAAGGGGGGCATTTGCTCTGCAGGCTTGGGATACTGGTATTAGAAAGAATCCAAAGGGTCAAAAGAGGGTCCATCAATGGAATTTTTACATGGATCAGGATCCAGCTCAAGCTCCCACTGGATTTCCTTCACGCTGCTGTATCAATGGGGCCTAATTCTGTAGTCAGTTTTTCCTAGGAGACCTATTTCTCAGGATTCTTGTCTTTGCCCCACAGCACTCTTTGCTGTATTTCTCCAAAAGCACCTGCTGAAGGGACCTGCGCCTGCCAAAAAGATGTTTGGGACTGACCACTGGGACTTGTTGAAAGGATAAGATAAAGAATCCTAAAATAAAAATAATAAAATAAATTTAACTAACACGTTCAGAATTCAGAGCTTAATAAACATTAAAGGGAGTGAAAAATATGAAACATGCCTCAGCCCACGTACACAGGTAACAAATTAAGCTTCTGTGTGTGGATTACTGGAAATTCAAAACACCCAATAAGTTTTTCAGCCTAGTTTTAATTTCTCCCTTAGAAGAAAAATACATTGCATAAGCATTATCTAGTACACGCTTCATAAAGTAACCTGGAAATTCCTAGAATCCTCCTCCTCAAACTTATCCCAGCCTTGTTAAGTCCATCTTTTCCTTATGTAGGAGTTGTATTTTCTTTTATTTAAAACTTGTGTCACAGTAAGAGTAGTGGGAGTTTAAGTGTGGGCTCCCAGGAGATGTTTTAACAACTCTTGCAATTCCATCTTCCCCTGTTACCCTATTCCCATATTCACCGCTTAACTGATCATACACATGCTTGAACATAAATATTTACAAAGAGCTGCTTTAAATGGGGTTAGAACAAGTTTTCAAATAACTTTAGAGGGAGTTCAGAACAAGGATTCCCATCTCAGCATCCTTTTAGTTCTTATATTTAAAAGTAAAAATGGGGGGAAGGGAATTGGGGGGCTGGATTAAGTCAAGGACTCTCACAGAAAAACATGACAATTGTTTTTAAATGTGCAATCCTAGACACCCTAGGGAGTAAGCTCCACTGAAAACAGTGGGGCTGACTTCTGAATAAACATGTATAAAGTTGTGCTGCAAAGTCATATTGCCCCCAGAACATATATATATATATAAAAAGAACAGTACAGACGGGAAGTGGGTAAGTTAGCGCTTAAGATGCTGCATTATAATACAAATCAGTACCTACGGTAATTAATTGTACACACTTCTTTTTTAAAAAAAACACTATGGGAAGAAAATGCAGAGGGGGGAAATGCACATAACAATTGCTACTGAAGAGGATGATTTTAAAAAATGCTTTCAAGGAATCGCTTCCCTCACTGACCTGCAAAAGATAAGGAGTCTGCCTAGTCTTTCCCCCTCTCCCTCTTAGCTTTCCGAAGTTTCAGACTTCCAGTTCCAATGGGGCACCTGCTAGGCTCTGCCTTTCTTCCTAATCCGAGGAAAGGAAGAAAAAAGAGAACCCCCAACAGAGCAGATGTGCTCCTATAGCTAAGGAAGCCGGGGAAAGCCATGCGCTCGCCGTCCCTCCCTCCCTCCGGCAGCTGCGGTTACCTGGCAAGGAGGACTGGACTAAACTTTTCCGCCTGCACGCCGGACAGCAGATCACAGCCAGGATCGAGAGGAGGAGGAGCTGGATCACCCCTGATCCTCTAAGGTAGCCTCTCCCCACCCCCCCTTACACCGGAGGGGAGAAGAGGACGGAGAAATGAATGTGGAGCAGCGGCAGAAACCTCCCACATAAACACGCCTCCTAGTCGCTGTGGTGGCGGCGGCTACATCCCCACCCCCACCCCTGGTATAGGAGGCTAATCTGCTCCCAAGCATCACTATGGCAGCAACCGGAACAGAGAGAGGAGGGGAGAGGGAGAGGGGGAGGACAGACCTTAGTAGCAAGCAGGGCAATGAGGGCAGAGACCTGACTAGTATTGGCAAGGGTTGGGGGTGCACGGCTAGCCTAAGCGCACAGGATGGGGCGCCAAAACACAACTACCACCACCTACGGTGTATTTACACGGGTAGCTGCTGCGAAGATCAAGAAAAGTGTGGAAAATAAATGTCCGCAAAATTTTGTCCTCGCTCAAGGAGCCACGTTACCAAAGTCGCCCCTGGGGACCCCTTCTCCCCCGGGATCTGCGGATAGGCCCTTAGCGGGCTGTCTTTGTTTTACTAAAAAAATTCCAGTAGCACTTAGAGACCAACTAAGTTTGTTACTGGTATGAGCTTTCGTGTGCATGCACACTTCTTAAGTTTCCTGGAAATCGACCGACGACCCTGAGTTTGGTGCAAAAGGATTATTAACCGAGGAGCTTGTTTTTAGCACCAGAGCTGAACAGAGCTCGCGCCCCTTCAGCACCAAAGTCCACTCCGAGTTTACCCCAGCAGCAGCAGCAGCTGTAAAAACAACTTTGCATTTTTATACTACCCATATAACCGATGACTCTGGCCGGTTTGCAGACTATTAAAGGTCCAACGCAGCACGCATGACGCGATCCTATACGAGTCACCTTAGAAGTCCAGTCCCGTGGACGTGAGTGGGACTTAAAACTCCCTGACATAGGAGGGCAGCCTTAAAACGCTATCTTAAACGCCACCACTAAAACCAATTATAAATCCATCAAGTGGAGTGGTGGTGTCAGAAAACCTTGCCCGATCTATCGCATCTCTATTCTTTCCCATCAATTCCCCACCCCCTCGTGGTGAGAGAAATTGCCCTTGTCTCCTCAGTGAAAGAGGAGCTGATGCCCGTCCTGTGGCCCCTTCACCCTAGAGGCACAGTCCATGCTCCTTTATCTATAAAGATACAACGAAAGTTGACCCGGAGGGGAGGGCTGGGGGCACGGGATAAAATAATCACGCATCTCACTTAAAACAGGCTGATTTACATTTGGGCAAACATTAAGTGCCTCTCCCCCCCCCCACCCCGCCTTTCTTCCCAGAGAAAAGAGGCTGTTTGGCTCTCCGTTTGGATTTCATTATCAATTGAACAGCCGATAACAAGAGTAGCAGCCCAGGCAATATAAATGACAAAAAGTGAACCAGGACAGCCAGCTTTCACCCTGGTGGGGGTCGGGGAACGGTGCTTTGTTTTGTTTTTAAGACACCCTCAGAATCTAGCAACATTAGAAACATTACAATATTTTATTTTAAATCATATCGAAAATGAATTTTGCGAAGCTTCTTTAAAAATAATATAAAAAACTCAAGAGTGTTGAGTGGTTCATATTATCAAGTTTCCCCCTGCAAAATCGCTAGACCTAAAAAAAGAGAAAAATTCTTTTGGAAAAGCAGCCGCCTAAGGGTGCAATCCTATACCCACTTACCTAAGAGTAAGCTTCACTTACTTCACTTAGTGAACCAGGACAGCCAGCTTTCACCCTGGTGGGGGTCGGGGAACGGTGCTTTGTTTTGTTTTTAAGACACCCTCAGAATCTAGCAACATTAGAAACATTACAATATTTTATTTTAAATCATATCGAAAATGAATTTTGCGAAGCTTCTTTAAAAATAATATAAAAAACTCAAGAGTGTTGAGTGGTTCATATTATCAAGTTTCCCCCTGCAAAATCGCTAGACCTAAAAAAAGAGAAAAATTCTTTTGGAAAAGCAGCCGCCTAAGGGTGCAATCCTATACCCACTTACCTAAGAGTAAGCTTCACTGAAATTAATGGAATTTACTTCTGTGGAGACTTGTATAGGATTGCACTTTGAAAAAATAACCCCCCTGTAAAATCTTGCCCTTATCGCAGTTCCTGCTGAGTCTATTCAAGCTGGTTGTGGCTTAAGAAATAGCCACACTGGAGGAAGAGGAAACTGAAGATATTTTAACATATAAATTACCTGCTGTTAATTGCCCATGTACTGTCAACTGCACAACTGAGAACTTTGTGTTCTCATTTGCAGAAATGTTTTACTTAAAACCTGAAAATTAAATAGCCTGTTCTGAGTTCTAAAATTTCACATGTTCTAATGCAGTGGCTCTCATATCCCCACCTCGACCAACCACTTAATAATCACAAAGGATCTAGCCTATCTAATGGCAGGCAACTGATGGGTTTTTCTACCTGTTTTAGCAACTGTCATATTATAGTATTTTCTGCATCACAATCTGAATTCTATGAAATAAAATATAAGAAATAAAAAAACCAATAACGTACAGTTCAAAACCATTATGCGCATTTAATGCAACTGATGTGTTGTGTACGATGACAAATCCACAGACGTGCTGCACGACAACCTGAATGAAGTTCATGGACCACTGGTGGTCCATAGACCACAGTTTGGGAACCCCTGTTCTAAAGGGTAGTCGAGACATTGGTGAATATGCAAAGTTTCTATACATGTACATGGTGGGGAGTCTTGTTCATGCATGTTGAAACTGCCTTCTCATTACACACATTCAGGATAACTTCAGAAACAATATATACATACATACAATCAATTTGTGCAGGCTAGCTCAGTTGGTTAGAGAGTGGTGCTGATAACACCAAGGTTGCAGGTTCAAGGTAAGGGACAGCGGCATAGTCCTGCATTGCAGAGGATTGGACTAGATTATCCTCAGGATCCCTT